GATGTATAGGGTTGCGAGAAAAGAAGGCGCTTGCATGGTATCATGAAGTCTACCCAGTGCTCTCCACTTGTACTTGCTGCTCGTTTTATCCGTCTCATACATTTTCTCTCTTGCAGATTTCTCGGTTTTGGGGTCTCTTTTGACGAAGAGTCATACTTCTGTTGGAGGAGATGGGACATAGTTCTCTTGAAACTGCGGTCGAATTGTATATTCCATGTGAGCTCGGAAACTGTAGTAAGTTAGCTTAAGCTGATACCTACATATGGGCTGAGCTCACTCTCGTTGCGTATCTCTTCACTTCTTTTCATATATGGCTCTACGAAGGCCTCTTTGGATTCATCTTCATCGTCGAATTTCAACTCACGTTTAAATATGGCGTCTGCAAATACATTACCCTCTGCTTGAGTCATCGTTCGGCCACGGTCAACCATGATCTTCGTCACATCTCTCATCTGCTGAGTCTCGCATTCACTCAGTCTCACCAACCTCAAATCGGCTGCTTGTTTTTTGATTTCGCTGAGACTCTTCATCAGCAATGTTTTGGAGTGAACACTTCTGTACTCACTTCTGTATGTAAATTCGCATTGTAATCCTTTGACCTGCAGCTATTTGCTTAGCCAATGACGTCGTTCCTCCTATGTCGAAACGCAAGCCAAGAAGGCCCGTATCAACCTTCATGAAGCTATCTGCGATTTTGTTTCCTTGTCTGACAACGTTTGATAGCTCTCTCTGTGACTGAAGTTGCTCTGTGGTCACTTTAGATTTTCGGAGGCGCCGCCTGTCTCCAATAAATTGGGGGGGGGTCATGCACGACAGTGTAGTCAACATTGTATGCTACAGGACCAACTCCTGAAGAGGTTCGCGGATTTGTCGTGCTGATAATCGGTCGCTTGAAAGCTTGGGAAAATGAATCCATATGGTTGAGAACATGAGTCGCGTTCATCTTGGGTCGTCTGGTCGATGTCTCGACGTCGGCCTTGGCTCTATCTTGTGATTGCATTCCTGCGCCTTGCGATTACGAGAAAGCGTATGGAAACGGTAAATCGGATATTTATGTATGTTAAACGGAAAACTTGCAGCTTGAGTCGGTGGAGTCTAAATATTTAGGATAGTACGGCCAGCTAAGATGGTGACTGGATCATTGCTGTGGCTGGAATGTTCATGTTGATGGGCCGATTTATTCACCTTTATTCTTACCTTTATTTGTATTCACCTTCAACAAAGAACAGTCCAGAATCTGAATTAAAATTTCGCTTAGTGGTTTTCAAGTCGCACGATCTCGCCATTGATGTTTTATTTAAAGCCTCTCTTCGACTCAAAATATATTCCTCCCTCCACAACCTTTATTTTCTCGACAACTACAATTCTGTGATCTGCACGACTGATCAATCTCCCTTGATAATCACAATAAGCTGGAGTACTCTACTTCTTTCTTTTCCTTCTGAAACATTTCATTGAGACTTTTCTAAAACATTGTCGCAGTTACATTTTGAAAATGTCTCTCTCCACCCTTCGACCTGGAAAATGGATACCACTTCATGGCACTGTTCTTGAAACTCCGCTCATGGATGTACCTTATCCTCCAGTCAACACCACTCCTGTCGAAGCTTATGGCATCTCTGGATTGACGAAGGAGTTCTATGATGCAATGTGCAATTTCTTTCAAGAATTGGATCTGTACAACGCAATTGATCTCAACCCATGGCTGGAGCTGAAGGATGCCGAGTACGTTGGTATTGGAATGCCTGAGCGTCAAATTCTGCTTCATTTATTCGAGTTTGTACCTTCTTCTCCATGTCGCGCTCACGTCTAACATGCATTACAGGCAACACACTGATCGCAAAGGTGTTTACGTCAGAGACGCCTATGTCAACAGAATATTCATTGCTCCATTGGATGAGTTTGAGGACAAACAAATGTTAGTCGTCGCAGGCTACACCAATTTGTGTTTGGAGCCTTTGCATGTCGAACATCGAAGAATGATGAACGGCTCATGGGATGAAAACTGTACCCTTCTCCCTACAAATGTCGGGGTGGCTCCTCGCTCTACTCCAGGAAAAAAGCACCTATCATCACCCTCCCTGCCTGCGGCTCTCAAGCCAAAGATTCCACGTCCCGCCAATGAGTGGATTCTTTATCGTGCTGATAACCATCTACCCATCAAGAAAGCCTATCCAGGTATCACCAACAATGAGATTTGTAAGTTTCCCATTTTTCCCACGCTTCAGCTCAATTTTCTAACATTTGTTTGTAGCTTCAATTATCGCTGGCATGTGGGCTGCAGAAACTCCAGATCGGCGCTTGAAGTACAAGATCCGTGCCGATATGTTGAAGGAAGCTCACAAGAAGGCTTACCCTACCTACAAATACGCCCCCAGAAAGCCAGGTGAGAAGAAACGACGTGCATCAAAAAAGACCCTCACCAAACCAATCACCAATCAATTATCCCACAACTTCAACACTACCACCTCATCCATCACCTATCCTACTCCAACCCACAACTCTATTTACGATACTGGTCTGGATGCATTTGGGCTCAATGTTCACATGGAACACACCAACACTGTCGAGCAGCAACTTCAACCCGAGCACTCCAGGCTTACCTATGCGGACGAAGCAACGGGCATGAACTTCACACCAACGGATTCTTGGCAAATGGTTCAACAACAGGATCTCTTCACCTTCTTCGCCCATCAATCGTAATACTCAGTGTGGACGACTGTGTTTCACGAACTTACGACAGCATGGAAAGGGTTGGATCTGGGACTTTGATGTTCAATGCTTGTGCGCTAAGGATGAAATTTACTGGATGATGGATGGAATAAAATCTGTACTTGGATTTCGCATATATAGTTCATACAGTTCATATTACAAAGAAAAGACTTTTTACACTCGATGATACTCTCTGGCTACTTCCTGCATTGTGACTGTAAATAAAATGAAAACATTCAAGTGCCTTCCCTAACATTCATCTTCAATTTATTCAATACAAATTGGTGCAATCATGCGAGAAAATAATTCTTGCTTACCCCAACCCCCAACCCCAGTGCTCAAAATCAAATGATTGGTCATTTCCAAAGATCAGTCGGCATTTCTGTGTGGTGAATAGGAATAACATCTTAACGATAAGCCGGCGAAGACAAACACAATACAAACACAACATTAAGATGAAGATCAAAACCACCAGACAAATTCGACATGAAGCATTTTTAAGAAAGAAGTATTTATGGGGTATCAGATTCCGTTGTGCTCGTTATGTTCAACGCCGCACCCTCAGAACTTGGAAATGTGATGAGATTGATACGCGCGATCCATCAACTTTCTACGACGCGAATGTTGTAGAGCTAGCTGCGGCATTAGAGAGGGATGAGTTACTTACGGGTGTGCCACTGGGATCAGAACCAGTAACTTTAAATTTTAAACATTTCGATCGGGGTATTGAAGCAAGTAAGTCCATACCATCATCCTAACCTATGAAGTCTTCTAATTTTTCTTAGGAAAAAACTGTCCTGGAAAGCCATGCGAGCCTGATTTTCTGGAAGCCCTTGTGAGAGACTGTTGCCTTTTGATTTGGGAATTTCGCAGCTTCTGCAGAGATACAGAATTCAACTCAATGGATGACCCATTACCTACAAAATATGCCGACATCTTCTGTGATCTCAACAAGGTATTTGACGAATGTCGAAGGCTCAAAAATTCGCCCGAACTCTTCACCACCCTAATACAAGAGCGTCAATTCATGAAAAAAATGAGTCGTGTAGCGGAAATTGTAGACCACCTCCGAGATGTTATACTTTTTAAAAAAAAAGTAAGCTTGCCAGATACGAAATGCGAAAGAAGGAGAAAGAACTTGCCAAAGGTCTACCATTTTTTTATCCAGGGCGCGCAGATGGAAGATACCCCTGGTCTAGATGGCTAGAAAATTCATCGGCTGTAATGCCACCAGGTTGGCTTGGGATTCAGCAGAAGATAACACATATCGGCGACAATATAATTCGAAGAATCACGACCATGTATGAACTATACGAAAGGCAGTTCCGAATTGTGAGTACATTAAAATATGTTTTAGAGAGAGAGAGAGACTGATGTATTTCTCACAGGAAGGGCTTATCGATCGCAAAGTCAATGTAAGTTAAATAATGAAAGGCTGCTCGATGTCCAAGAGTGAAACTGAAACGTCATCTAGGATACCTTGGAAGATTTTCCTGCGCCAGGAGCGGCATTTGAGCATATGGCCTACTCAAGATTCTCGACTATGGCAGTAAATTATGTGCAGTACAAAGCTGGATATAGGTCGGAGACAGACAAAAACGGGATCTTGAGGGTTGAGCAATTAGCACAAGTTGTTCAACAAGGTTTCGGAAGGCAGCAGAATCCCGTAATTATGGGAAATGCAAATGTCCCGTATCATCGATTCATGATGGGCTACAAAGTAGAAACACCGAGTGAAGATGCGCAGTAGACAGTTTAAGGAAAACTAGATGTGATCATCTATCCAAATTAGCATTTTGACTTTCCCATGTCTTGTATTATGTGATCACGTGATATACATTGGCCGTCGCTACGTGAAAGAAATGAGATTCTTTGTTGCTTCAACATTCACTACAATGGATTTTTTTGAAACAAATTTGCTAGCCGACTCCCGCCACACAATTACCATTTAAGAAAATTTCCGCAACAGATTTCCAAGAACTCTTCTACAACTTTACAACAATTTTCAACAATCTTCTCGACAAACTTTCGGCGACTCCTTGAATAATTTTCTTCCCAAATACTACCACCCTTCAATTAAGAGCAATCATTAATGCATCATGAAGACCACCATGAAGCGACAGCAAAGGAAGCTGACAAGTACTCAATACCGCGTATCGAAACCAGCAACTAAGTGCAGGAGACTTCATGATACCATGCAAGCGTCTTCTTTTCTCACAACCCCATACATCGCTGAGGTTGAGGATGGCATGCAGTATCCCGA